CCCCGCCCCCGATTTTATCAATCGGGGAAAACCCGAACCCGAACCCGATAAACACGGGTTTTCCCCATCCAAATCGGGACGGGTTCGGGCGGGTACCCACGGGGACGGGTTAGATTGTCATGCCTATGCGCGAGTCGTCTTTTAGATGAGTGTATGTGACAAATGTGTTTTATCACGCATTTTGTGTTTCATCAATTAGTTTATAAATGTGCAATTGACTTTCTGGTCTTCAAATAATCGATGTGTAGTTTGTCGAATGTGTTTATCAGTGCCTAAATAGTTGATTATAAAATATATTATCAATAAACACATTAAAATTATTAAATATTTTTATAATTTGTGAGTAAGGAGTATGTTATTAAATGTATTATTCACCATTATAAAGTATATTATCTATTTCGGTATATAATATTTATTATGTATAATTATCATTATTAATTACTTATTACATGATATATGGTTAAATATATTATGTGATGATGAAAAATAGATAAATAAGTTGCTACTATTATTTACTCAATCTTAATTTATTCTGAGGTTATGTGAAATTAATTTTAAAAGTATACCATGTACATGTATTCATAAAATGCCAAAATTTAGGCCTTCGTTTTACAACTGTTACTTGATCTTGTTTTAATGAATTTATTTGTATAAGAAAGATAAGTATTTTTTTTCAAGGTATCTAATTTGATAACAATTTATTCAAGATGCCATATAAACTTTAATAGTAAAATAGATGTTACTAATAAAATTTTAATTTTTTTTTGTTTGTCCCTAGAGTATCTAAGTTCAGCTGCATATACAAGATAGAATTTGAACCCCTAACTTTACTTAAGCGTGGATCAACTCCTACCACTGAACCACACGCTTGGGATTAATAAAACTATAATTTTATGACAATGAAAGTGCTATAAAAATGGTAACATATTATTGAAACAATTATAACATCGCATATGTTTAAGACAATTAAAACGGAATGTTGGAATAATTATACTAATGCATGATCATAACAATTAATACGGAATACTGAAACAATTATAACAGTTAAGAATAGAATACTAGGTAATTATAATATTTTTTTATTATATTAAAGTAGATAAAAAAAATTCTCCGTCACAAGATACGTGGCTCGTGGCTGGTGGCTGGTGGCTGGTGGTCGGAGCTGAACATCTAAATTTGTAAATATGCCCTATTTCTCGTTAAAAATTACCTGGTATTCTTTTTTAAAAAATAAAAATCATACTTTACTTTCAATTTAACAAAAATACTTTTAACGTGGTTGCAGTATTCTTATATTTCTTCTTCTTCTTTGATCTCTAATTTTTTAAAATTAAAAATCATATTTCTTCTTTATATTTGTTCCAGTATGGGATTTTTTTTTTCAATTTCAATACTTTTTTAAATCACACCAAATTCTTCAGATTAAATAATTTAAAATTAGTCTATATATCTAAATAACAATAAAATCATAAAATAATTTTCAAATAAACAACAATAAAGTGTATTATATGAATTAAATCCAATTTAAATATCTACAATCTTATTGTATATATATAACAACAATTGACTTGATTTAACTTAATTTACGGATAAATAAAATTATCAAAAAATAATTGAAATATTTTATGTAGTTTATAAGTTTGGAATTATGTATGTTTAATTAAAATGAAATCTGACATTAAAAAAATGAGAGGTGATATAAAAAACTTAGTTATCTTTTATTTCAAACTTATTGTCCACATAAATGTGTTGGAATCAAAAGTTGTTTAATGATGGAATTAGAGTTTAACCTGATTGTCACGAATTGTAATTATAGTGATTATAGAAAGTTTTTTTTTTTAAGTTCCACGGTGAACAGTAAGAAAACTTCTAAAACAACCTAATAGTTGTTTGAGTTCAAAACATTCAATACATGTAAAAGCTGATATTCTCTTAAGATTATAAGAGTATACTGAGGTGATATTATAGACATTAATTTCTTCTTCTTTTTTCATGATCTCCTAAATTAATTTGACTTTCCGATTTCATTAGATTTATCCAAGTCTAGAGCCAAATTATGAATAAAAATATATAAGAAAAAAAGTTCAGTTTGTGTGAGTATGACTATTTTGTTACATCGTAAACGCGTAGGGAAAAACGTAACCTAGAAGCGTGTCTGCAAGGAGGAAAAATAAACAAAAGTTTCTGCATCACATCCCAAATCTTCATCGTCACTAGGCGTATCAGCCGTTATAACGACGCGTCAAGTCAGTACTTATCTTGGATTTTATGGGATATTCTTTGTCATATAAGATACTAACAATGTTGGCCGTTTTTAGAATGAATAATGATATGAATAACAAAAGAAAAACATATAAATATACATATAAAAGAGTCTATTTTTTTTTAAGTTTAATTTTGATATACTAATAAAATAAATATTTATACAAATCAAATTTTATAATGGGCATAAAAAATAAAAAGTTATGCATTTTCATTTTTTCATAGAAATTGAATTTGGTACCAAGAAGATTTATTTACAACAATTCACCCACCGGTTCAACCAATTGAGTTGGATCTTTTGATTAAATTTTGCATTAAAAATACTAAATTAGACTCTTAATTATATTTATACAATTATCCAATAAAAATTTACTTGTTATTGAATCATGTTAGTAAATGAGGTAATAAAATGTTGAAAATCTTGATATCCTTATTTGGTCGAGAAGAATGTGTTGATAAACTGTCAGTTTGGCGTTTTTAGTTCAAGATACTTGCATGACCATTTTGTTTTTTTAATAATTTTTTGTACTTTCTTCGAATGTTTAGAGGAAATTTGATATTGACTTTGTTGGATGGATTAACGTGTCCTATTAGTGCACTGCAGACGAAGCATCCTTCCTTTTTCCTGTGGAGTCTGGATCAACATATATATAAATAAAGTTAGTTTGGCTTTAATTAATGATACTATCTCTTGCAACGTAATTGGTCCAGTTATTGTATCATTCGGAGTTCTGTTCTGAGAACGGTTAGTAGTTCATTTGGTTTGATTGTAACATTTTCTATTTGGATGGTATCAAAAAAGCAATCTCCTCAGAAGCACCAAGGCAGTGGTAAAGTTCCAATTCAGAAGGAAAATTGGAGCCATGGGGATACAAAACATGCTTCAATCAGGTTTCTTATTTGTATACTTATTTTGGTGTCTTGGGGTTTGAGGTATAAGTATTGCGAAATGTCCTAGAAGACTAATAAAGAATCTCTTATAAGTTTGTTTGGATGGGTTGAGTCAAACTCAAATCTATATTATTTTACTAAGTTTGATTTTTTGTTCATTATGCAGTTGCCCTAGAAATGCAGTTAACGCACTATGGATGAGTGACCACGCTTCCTATTGGGAAAATTTTCTGCGAAAAGTGGTAAGTAAGGATTGAGTCTATTATCTTTGTGGTATGGTGTTGAGAAAGGTTTTTTTTTTTTTTTTTTTTTTCAGCTAGTTTTGACTTTTGAGCATGTCTACATTTGAAAGTACCCATCACTTCACAACCAAGCACGAGTTCTAAAGTACTTAGTATGATATCCTCAATGTTCCCCAGGTTCCTGCAATTGATTAGTAGTCCTCATTGATAAATATTTTTGTGATTCTCACACATCGTTTCCAAGTTATGCTTGTTATTTGATTTTGGAAGGAAAGAGAAGCATTAATGATTAGCCAGACTATTTGTTCCCATCAAATTTGTCATTGATTTTATCTCTGTCGCACTTCTGCACCTCATCGTATTTTCCATTTTTTTGGTTTTGTTTTTGGTTGATAGTTCAAGAAGCATTTTGACAGATAGGTACGTGACATTAATGGCTGTTACATATATAATGGGATACCTCTTTTATTTGAATATATTTAAATTCTTTATATGATTAAGGGAAGGGGCAAATTTCAAGTATCTCCTATCTATTTTGTTTTGAAGCGACAATCTTATTGATTCATTTGTCTTCCTCAAACAGGTAAGAGAGGTGGTAGAACAAAAAATCCTGGGCAAGGCTCATCTATTTCAAAGGTTAGTTTTTCATGTTCAGATTCTGCGTTGACAACAAATAATTGTTGTACTTGTACTCATTTCTTATGGTTCTGTGTGGTTAAAAATTGATTAATCAATTTTATTTGTGAAATTATGTTGAAAATTTATCCATGAATCTTTTTTCCTCATTTTTACCCTGTAGCAAATTGAGCCTGGGAGATATTTTGTGGTTTATTTTTTTCTTTTCTTTACTGAATCCAATAGTTCCTCTTTATTTATTTGATTAATACGCGTAGTTTACTATTCTTTTTTTGCAAATTTGTTGCAGAAAAAGGGTTAATGAGGCTGGCATATCTGGGGTCAAACCCTTAAAGTTGTGTTTTATTAATAAGTTGCCTGATACAATTTTTACTCGGTCTAACATAATAGCAGAAGACGAAACACCCCTTCAAATTGCTCTAATTGATGTTGGATCTGAGTCTGTAGTTAGTGATGGTCCTCTTTCCTCACTAAAGATAGAAATCTATGTCTTGGATGGTGATTTCGGATCTTGTGGCAGTGAGGATTGGAATGAAGATGAGTTCAATTCCAATATCTTACGTGAAAGAGATGGTAAAGAGCCACTATTGATTGGAGAGAGGATTATTACTCTAAAAAATGGAGTTGGTTGTATTACTAAACTTGCCTTCTCTGACAACTCGAGATGGCAAAGAAGCAGAAGGTTCAGGATTGGAGTCAGAGTTTTGCAACCAATTTCCAATGGAGAAAAGATTCAGGAAGGTAGAAGTGAACCTTTTGTGGTCAAAGATAACAGAGGAGAGCGTGAGTCTTAACAGTTCACTTCTGTTTCTCGTTGTCTATTTCCAACTAAAGACATAACTATTGTTTCCATTAAACTTTTATGCCTCTTGGATTTTATTTTTCAATATAATCTGTCTTTTAGTACAACTACAAAACTGACACGTAATTTGGTCATTTAAGCCTACAAGAAGCACTACCCTCCATACTTGAATGATGATATATGGCGTTTGAAGAACATTGCTAAGGAAAGAAAATTTCACAATCAGCTCTCTTTACATGGAATTCACAAAGTGAAGGATCTCTTGCGGTTGTACATAACCAACGAACCTTCACTATATGAAGTAAAAAAATTTCTCTCTTACTTTTTTCTTGTGTTATTGGTAGACATTCCTTGCTTATTCATATAAATAATTGATGAAATTCATGTTTAACTGTGTTTATTCGTTGAATCTTTTGGTCTGGGAATGCAGATGTTCGGAAACATTTCAAGGAAATCATGGTTAGCAATCACTGAACATGCCAAAACCTGTGTGATAGATGATTACAAGCTCTACAGTTATCACTCGGAAGAACTGCAAATCGGCCTGCTATTCAATTCCATCTACATCCTCGTGGGAGTGACTTTTGATTGGCAAAATTACTATTCACCAGATACTCTCCCCCCCAAAGAAAAGGTATGCAATCATAACCTGTTCTGAATTTTTTGTTAAATAGGTTTTAAAGAAAAAATTGTTGTCACGTCTCTAATTTCAATGATTTCTTTAAATTAGTTATCACCGTCTTATCAAATTATCATTATTTATATATCATATTATACCTGTGGGTCAAAAGTGATCAGGTTCCTTCTTCCTTGGCAGCATTTGGTGGAAATTGTGAAGCAGCGTGCTTACAGAAATGTTAACAATTTGAAATTGATTGATGACACTAAGTTGAACTGTTTAAATCTAGCGGCATGTCTAAAAGCAAGGCAGTCTGACACTCCAGATCAAGGTCTGCAACATATTAATATCTCAACTGCACAAGGTATATGTAATGGTATAATTTTTTTACTATTTCATTATCTCTTATATTGCATCATTCATCTTTTAACCTGTTTTGTGCATATCAATCAACAGTAACATTGCCAGGTTACAGTCAACCATTTATCTCTGCTTCATATGCTGATGAAGGTATAATGCATGATCACCAAGTTTATGCTGATCTACAGCCAGACATAGGAGAAATGTCACAAAACCGTTATGATTTGGATGAATTTTCCGCAGGAATGTACACTGAAGGGGATAGTTTGCACCTTAATGGATCGTATTTTCCATTTGTGCAGGGTGGTTATTCATCTGAGAATGAAAGATCAGTGATTCAATTCATAAATGATTGTCCTCCTTATACAACATTGGTACCAGAAACTAGCTTTTTCATTGGTTCCTCTGTTGGAGCAGAATTTAACAACTATTCCACTTTCATCGATTCTGCTGCGGATATATCGGGCACTGGGAAACCTAAAGCAGTGTGGTATAAGATTCTTGTTGCTCTCAAATGGGTCATATCAATAAAAAGGGAAACAGCTGCAAGAAAGAATGTCAAGCAGTTTCACTATAACTATTAGAGTCATGTTTTGTGTCTTTTGTGGGTTACTAAGTAGAATTTGCCTACAAAACCTGTGGTATTAGTTCCCTGATGTATTCTATAGATAGTGTTGTGCTGTTTGTTTTTTTCCTCAAGTTTACCTTCTTCAAGTTCAACTACACTAAAGAGATGCTTAAGATGGAGTCCTCCTGTACATCCTAGTGAAGGGTTGTTTATGTATAAGTTGTGGTGGTTGTGTGTAAAATCAAGTTTCTACATACTGATTCATGGTCAATTCAAGTTTTTTTATTTGTTCAAAAGACGAGGTATAATTTGTTCATTACAAGAATAAAATAATACTTTCTTTCGTAACTTCATAGTTATCCAATTCTTATATAGGGTTGAGCATGAAATCAAGACCTCAATTGAATTCAAAAAATTTTATAAAAAATATTATTTTTGTTGGATTCGGCGTCTTATGAATAAATTAGGTTAAAATTTTGATTTTATACGAGTTATATTAGATGAATTCGATTTTAAATTTTTAAATTTGCTAAAAATTAAACTCAACTTTAAATTTTTATTACTTTTATATAATTAAGTAATAATAGCCCAAATTTAAAATTTTTTATTTCAAGTATAATATAGACATCAATTTATCTTTCACCTAGTTCGATTAAGAAAGAAACTTCCCGGTGTGAGGTTCTAATTCTGACAACAGCTAAATCTAGGGCACTGCATAAGGAAGAAGGAGGAGATTCCCTGGTATGAATTGAATGGATTGGGCATTTCTCTTGGAGCGATGATTCTTGGCCACTTCCTATTAAGATAAGGTTTCCCATCCGAAGTCTTTGCTGCTGTTAAAGGATTTGTTTCGCAACGCCCCTCAAGAACCATTGCCGCCTATAGATATAGATGGAAGGTAGCTTGCTTCTCTTCTCCGCAGGAGAAAAAGAAGGTCCCCCTTACTCTTGTGATTCGGAGTTGTCGACCCGTCATTTCCAGTCGAGTCAAGCATCTACCTCTTCATCGCAGTCGTTAAAGACGTTGTATCGATGGAGTGAGATCAGGGCTTCTCCCTCTACCCGAGCGAGGGATCACCGGATCAGTAAGCAACCGGGCCAACCACGTTCCTTTTTCTCGTAACTCTTTGTCTTCTCTTTTTTTATTCAACTTCTCAAAACACTGGTTTATTTTTTAATTTTTTTTGTTTCTTTCTTTGTCTTTCTTTTTCATTTTCTTATTTTCATCTTGAGTACAACTTGTGCTGTATGATTTCTTATGAGTTTTGTAATCTAACTTTGGATTTTTTTTTTGCATGTAATAACTATAGATTTTGTTATCTTTTATTTTTACTTCTTTAGTTTATGAATGTTTCATTTACGAATCTACTTACACTCTTTATTGTCACTTTCATTCTATTTTTATACACTGTTTTAAAATTATTATTTTTACCATTTTAAGCTTCATCTTCGTTAAGATAATTTAGTTTACAAAAAAACCTCAAACCCAATTATACCCACCTGCTCAAATCCAAATTCATTTCAACCCAAACTGCCTCAAATTAAATGCTCAATCAATCAGATATCGATCACATTTTTCCAAAATCAGTTTACAATGAATTAAACATTTTTTACTCAAACCCAATGGAATCCGTTCGTTACCCACCCCTACTCTTATCTTTAATTAAGAGTACATAAAACAACTTGACCTAATAATCTTATTTAATTCATGTAAGATTGTCCATAAACAAATTGCAAATTGATTAGGTATATTCTCGTTTTCAGTTGAATGTTAAGAAATTATTTATCCATAATTGAATTTGAGTAGAAACAACTTTGAATGATATTTTTTTTCTTTATTAATAAAATTTATATAGTATTTAAAGTTAATAATCAAGGATTATTTATGTATATTGAATGTTACTTTGCTCTTTTAAAATTTAAGTTAATTTAAGTTTTATTTTATTTATTAAATTTATTTTGATCCTTTATCTATTAAATATTTATTTTGGTCATTTATCTCTTAAAATTTGGATCAACTTGATCCTTTTGAAACAATGTTTATTTTTTTATTTTGAGACATAATTTTGTATTATTTTTTGATCGGTTCAAAGCTTGAAATTTATTTCATTATATTCTTTTATGTAAAATTTATTGAACGCAACCGAAGTTCAAATAAAAAAATGTTACAAACATAATTAAAAAAATGTATAAAAATAATTCTAAAAAGAAAATAAAAAAATTTAAAATATAACTTTATATTATTTTTTAATTACTTATAAAACATATTTTCACACAATTTTCACTATGTTGATGTTTTTTTGGATTTGTACATTTTAGTTATATATAGTAAATATTTAGTGAATGCAATACAAACATTAAAACATTAGTTAATATTAATTTTCACGTAATTAACTAATTAAATTATTTACCAGAAGTTTTTTCTTCTTCTTTTCTTTTAAAATTCTTTCCAATTTTATTTTAAAACCATAGCCGACCATCTCTCTTTAAATCGCAGTTAGTAAGGATGGCAAAACGAAAAAATTGTAACTACAAATTAACAAATATACATAGATATAACCTGCTGATATTAAATGGATAGTTAAAAGAAATAAAAGCGCAAGATTGGATAGTAAGATAGCCACGCTTAAAATTATTTGAATATTTATAATCTATAATTATTTTCGTGACCATACTCACTTTTCATTTGCACTTTTTTCCCCCTGAATTAAAATTATAAATTACATCAACCTTGTGTTTGAATCACGTATAAAAAAAAACCCTACTATTTACATACAAAGAACAATTCCAAAATAATTGTACATTTTCATTTCAAATTTTTCTTTCATCATCTCTCACAAATTGTATACTCCACGCCATACTTGATCCGGGTAAATGGACCGAGATTCCTAGGTCACTTCTTTTCAACTCACACGAGGTATCTTCTAAACAGGGTTTAAGTGGATAATTTGTGAATTCAAATAGATACAAGTTATTTTAATAAGTTTAAATTCTGATCTCACCCAACTTATTTATGATTTAGATGGATTGAATTGAATTAAATTTTGTAATAAAAATAAATAAATTAAATTTAATCCAATCTCATTAATTAAATTTTGGTTAAATCAGATAACAAAATCATTTAAATTCAATTCAACTTAATTTATTTATGTTTAGGGTTTATTTTTTCTTTGTAATATTGTATATGTAGTTGGTATCCTGAGATCAGCTTGTGTAAGTATTTTTTTAATTTATAAATTGTTGGCTTTTTAAAAATTAAATTTATTTATCTAATTAACATTATTAATATAAAATAGAGATCAAATTTTAAAAAGATAAGATCAGACTTATAAAAAATACTATGATTAATAATAGATCAAACTTACACTTTAATTTTATAAATAAATTTAACTTATATATTTAAAGTTTAATTTGATTTAACCTATTTTCATTCTTATATATTACTCATAAACGTGTGTGATAATATAACGGAGGAATTTAGCCCATTTTACAGGCAACATGCATGAGCCATTTTCAACCCTAAGATAAGATAAGGAAGGCCAAACTGAAGTTAAATTCTCCTTCTTCTCATACATTTGAGTTTAATCGGAAACACCGAAGAAAAATTTAGGAAAAACCTGAACACGTTTAATGGGCTCCATTTGCGTTGCCGTGAACCGCAATTACCTCTCCATGCGTACTTCGATCGGTCTTACGCTAACGCGGTTATAATTCGAGTTTTCTTAATATCCTACACTTTTATAATTTTTATTCTTATAATAGCGGATGATACCGTGTGACAAAAGCTACTATATATTGCATGAATATATTAATTAACAGTATTTCCTCCATACTTAAATTAAATGTCATGTTGTTCGATAAGATATAATTTGATTAATTTATAATTTGGTTTAACTAAAATATTTGATTTTTATATATTAAACGTGAATAATTATATTATCTGAAAGTATTTTTTTAGAGAGTATTTATTCACAAAAATATTTTTAGAGATTTTTTTAACTTAACATAAAATTCAATTTTTTTACTTATCATAATTATTTATAAATAATATTCTTAAAATAAATTAATAATAGTGAATTTTTTTTTGAAATAATATAAATTGTTTATCTTAAATATAAAATATAATTTATATTTTAAAAATATCTATTTATATAAATTTTTAATATAATTTATATACTAAAGTATAATATTTATTTTATAGATATAATTTATTGTAAATTTTAATTATATATAATAAATATTTTTCACATGCTAAAATAGTGTAATTTTGATTGATGCATGAACTTATTGTACTTATTTATAGCTTATAATTTAATCTATAAACTACTATTTTTTATTCTTGTTTATTAATTTAAAATTAATTTTTTTAATCTCTAATAACGAAATATATCATTATATGTTATTTTATCTTTAACAATTAATTTTACCAAATACCTTTAACTAACTTATAAAGTTTTCGGTTTTTCATTTTCTTAGTTTATAGTAAGGGTGTTAAACGAGTTTATTCATTCTAACTCAAACACTAAAAGAATATTTAGTTTGATTGAACCTTTTTTTTTTATTTGATTGATCTATCAACCATTAAAAAAATTATAAATTACTTTTATTTGATTTGTTTTAATTTTTTTAAAATTATATGACCAAATATAATTTTAAAAGAAAAAAATGTTATGAAACTAGTAAATAATCAAATAATTATAGTGTTTAATAAGACATGTATTTAATATATTCATCAATAACTATGAAATAAGTCCACAATACAATTACAAATAAATCTTAATAAGTAAATGAAACACAAATAAAAATATCACAAATCAATATTAATAGATAAAAGTCCAAAAAAAAAAATAGTTCAACCAAATAGGAAAGCTCAATAGGTTAATCCAATTGAATCATCATTTAACGATGTTGAATTGATGGATTATGTGAGTTGAAGGGTCAAAAAGTGCAACTCAATCTAATCATTTTAGGTTGGTTATGTTGGTCAATTACATAAACTTATTTTGACACTTATACTTTATAATTTGCAAATTTCACGTAGTTTATAAGCTAATTTTATCAAATACATCCTAATAAAATAAATAAATATTTACATTGGTCTTAGCAAAATAAATTTCAACAAATTTTATCTTATTTAATAATATCATTCTCAAAATACCTCACATACTTAAGTGAGATTGTATTTCTAATGACTATTTCTTATTTTTGACATCAAATTTCATAATTATTTACGTAGTACTATGTGATATTATAATTAATTCACTTTTGCAGGTTATTTTTAGTAAGGTGTTGTTAACCTGTGTAAAAGCTTTTATTGGAAATTACGTTAAAATTAATATATATATATATATATATATATGTATGTATTTTTATATTTTTAATTAAAAAGAATTTTCTTTTAATTCTTTAAAGATATGAAGACTAGTTAAATTGCCTATATGATAGTGGTTAACATTTTCCCTTTTAGCATATTATTCTCTTTAATTAGCATTAACTAACCAGTATCCAAAAAGTTTAGTCATTATCATGTAATAGTTCTGGAGTTATTTATGTTTATCTTAAAAAAGTATATTTTAATTTTATTTCGCGCGTAAGATGATGACTGAACTTTGGAGGAGGACTTTTCCACGAGTCTTCGTACAGCAATGGCTATAAAAAACTCGAGTGGTGGGTGTTTCTTTCTAACATTTGTTCTTTATCGTTAGACACTGTTTATGCTAGTTGGGAACAAAGACTTGTTTGACGTGTGAGTATTGTAAGTTAATCTGTGGAGTGGATGGCATCGAAAAGGACATTTGATGAGGATGATCATCAGGGCGATGATGGCAGAGATCTTCATAATCATGCTAAGAGGAGACATGGCGACCCGCAACAAGACGACGCCACGAATTTCTATCTGTGAGTGTTTATTTCCATTCCATGTGTGCTACCACGTTTTCATTTCATGCAACTTTCTAAGTTTTCTTTTATGTGCAGTGTCGCTATTGAAACTGTCGTTCGAAGAGTGGTAAGCATGCATACTGCGACTCTATTTAGTACATCCCACTACAATATTGTTCCTCGTTCCGACGAGCTTTTTTATATTAACTCCATATTTTGTTTTTGTTCCTCCAACCAGGTGCCGGAGATAATTCAAACTACGCTCCAACGTTACCTAGGACACGAAGGGTCTATCCGGTACTTCTACTATGGATTTTTTGGTCCTAAAATAATGTTTATCTAACAAAAGTCATAGGATATTGTTGTAACTTGTATCCATTAATTAATTAGTTGTTTCCAATTTAATATCAGGCCAAGCCTTAATCTGGGTGTCACATCTAGATCCAAAGGTTTAGAATTGTGCTTTGTGAAAAGGCTGCCTTCAGAAATTTTCACCCTGGCCAAACTCACAGCCGAGGATGGTGGTCCACTTCAAATCGAGCTGCGTTATGCTGCATCGCAGCAACGCGTAGTCACGGGAGAAGGTTCCACCATGAAGGTTCAGATCTGTGTCCTAGCTGGTGATTTTGGAGACGAGGACTGGACTACACAGAAATTTAATGCCCAAATTCTGAAACCAAGAGACAAGGGGCCATTACTGAAAGGAAATACGGTTCTTAAACTTAAAAATGGGGTTGGTGATATCGATAAGAATCTAGTGTTTGGCGATAACTCTTGCTGGACAAAGAACAAAAAGTTTCGGTTAGGAGTTATAATTTTGGAATCTAGTTCCGCTGGAGCAGACACAAGGGAAGGAAAAAGTGAGCCCTTCAGGGTCAAGGACAACCGTGGAGTGTGTAAGTCCAAAACTTTTGAAGGACCCCCATTTTTTTTTTGTCATTATGTTTGTTTCGTATCCTTTGGCTTTGATTTTACATTTTGTACGTGTTTTGTCTTGTTTTGGTTATTTCAGCGTACAAGAAACACGAGCGTCCGTCATTGGATGATGAGGTGTGGCGTTTGAAGAATATAGCAAAAGAGGGTAAGATTCACAGGCAGCTTTCCGAGAATGGAATAAAAAATGTTAAGGATCTTTTGCGGCGGAACACAACCGGTTCATTACAGGAGGTAAATTTTTTTTTCTTCTTTAGGTATCGTTGAATATAATGATGGTTCTTTCTTGATGTTCTTAATTTGTTTGTTTAGTAATTAGAACTGACAAGTATATATGTCCGTGTAATTTTCACTTGTGGGAAGTAGAAATTCAGCGACGTTAGATTATGGCACAAAATGCTTGCGCATGCTAAAGATTGTAAAGTAGACGATGGTGAGTTGTACACCTATCGGTATCACCCAACGGAACAAGCATTACCCGTTTCCCTTGTCTTCAACTGTATCTATGAGGTTGTGTGGGTGGCTTTTAATGATGGGCAACTCTGTCCTGTGCAATCTTTGAATTTGGTGCAGAAGGTTTGTAGTTATATATCCTATATTCGATTGTTAATGTTGGATTCTGTGGCTTATGTTGCTTTTTGGAGTGAACTTTATTGCCTCATATACGGATATATACTTAAAAATTAATGATTCATATATTATATATTATCAACAAAGCTTAATTAGTTGTGTAGTACCTCTTAATTGAATCTGATCGAGACGTACACTTCTCTCCCTGGCAGAGTTGGGTGGACAGAGCTAAGGACGAAGCATACAAAAATTTGAAGGATCTGGTGAAAATTGAGGCACCCACACATGGCACACTGACACCTTACGGTGCTCCAGATCAAGATCTTCGACAACTCTTCCTAACGCAAGGTACTGTATCCATGTATCTTGCATAAACACAATTGCTGTAGTTTGGTTTTAAAATTACTAAAGTAGTATAGTTTTTTTTTAAAAAAAAAAAATTACCTGCAAGGTGTAAGTCAACATCCAGGAAGTTGCTTTTGTTTTGCTGATGCAATTTTTTCACAAAAATTTGTGGCTTTTCTAAACCGCCGCAAAGTGTTAAACGTCTTGCAGCTACTTTCGTTATTTAAAAAGTAAATATAGCAATTTTGTGGAAAAGCCGTATCTCAAATATGGCTATAATTAGTTAGACCCCTTGTCTTAGGCTTCAAATATTGGTTTAATAAGAAATTGGTAAGTGGTGATTGACTCTTACTTATATGCTTATCCTATGAATCTGCAGGCCAATTAGACACGTGGCCTTCGACCTCAGCATCAACTATTTTTGGGCCAATGCAAGGAGAAGTACCACTAAACTTCTTTACAGTGGGGCAGGTTGTCCCAGAAGAAGCAAATATTGATGGTGGAAACGGATGGGAAAATTATGACTTAGAAAATTACATTATTTCTAACCAATCGGAGCAATTGAATCCTAATTCCTTTCCCTATGGTGATGATGGAGCAGAATCTAGCAAGCATTCCTCTTTTCCCAACACTAAGTTAAGCAAAGGGAAAAGCAAAACAGTTTGGCAGAAGACTCGAAATGTACTCAAATGGGTCATGCCGTATATGGCTAAATGGAAACCTAAACTTCTTTGCCGTCATTATTGAATATTTCAATCGTTCTCTCATTTCTTTTAGTTTAGCAATTTGTGTTTAATTTTCAAGTCAATTTGTCTGTAATCATTGCTGGGGTTGGGCCCATGTTAGTAATTCTTATATGTAATAACAGCATAAAAATGAGGAAATGGAATTTAATGATACATATGTTTGCTTTTACCTAATTTTCTTTGTAAGCATTACAAATCCTTGATGATGCGGAGTTCATAATGTGAAAATATAATGGATTGTAAAGAAGCCCAGCCCAGCCCAGCCCAGCCCAGCCCAGCCCATGAAGAGATAAGAAAATTCATATTCAAATTAAACGGACGAAATTGACCGAGCAAGTCAAGCTCCTTAGAGTTAATTTATACGAGGTCTGCATTTTTCTGGTATTCAAATTCATATCTGGTACATTGGAAAAACCAAACCCAAACAAACGCATCTTCTGTCACTCGAAGACCATTGACCAATGACCATAACTATCCTTAAAATCTCCTCAACTACTGCGTACACAGACAGATCCCTCTCTCAGAAGAACCTTCCGCCATCAAACCAATAGCGTCTTCCCAGGTCAGTTATCATTTTGCTGCATATATAGTTTCATTGCATTACGCACACACGCTACAATTTCCAGCTTCTAAATCTTGCTAACAAATCAAATCTTCCTTTAAACTTTGGCTCTTCTTCCTTCTACCACTTTAGGTCAACGCCCTTATGAACGAAATAAATTTGGAGCCCTATTTTGAAAAGATCAATATTCAACAATGTCCCAAATGGATCTTTTGAATTGGCTGTTATAGTTCCTTGTAGAACAATATGTAGTTGATGCCATATGTCCAAACTTCATACCCACTTTGTGGTTGGATATATGCATCTTATGAGAAATAACAATTTATAAATTATTTGTTGGATATCGCTTCTTTATATTAAAAAAACAGATAGTTTTAACTTGTTAAAATCTATAAAAATAATTAAATTAGTAAATCTGTATTAATAATGTTGTAAATTTAAAGCTCATTTAAAAAATACTTGTAATATTTAATAGTCAAGGTAATTGTTATATCTGGTGAAACTAGAGCAAATGTCCGTGCAACTGCAAAGGCATGTTCATAAAAAATGGCCATCAATCTTGACATAGTGAATTTGGTTGGACACTTCTATTATATTTATAAATTATAGATTACTTGAATTTTAATAAGTATAATTTATTGCCAATGATAAATATTATATTTGTTAATGTGCTAATAAATGCATTCACTTCATAGAAAATGAATGAGTATGTCATTAATAAATTTCTCTTATGATTAATATTATAAAAAGAAAATTAATGATTAATCCACTAAGAGAGGGTTTGAGGCACTCCAAATGGAATTTGGTGTTGGAATGAGTGATTGAAAAGGTGTTAATAATTGTATATTGCATGGGAAGCAACACATTAAGGTGAGAGAAATGAAGATGGTTATTATAGTGGATTGAGGAAAGAAAATGGGCTCATGACTAGGGAGTAAAATAAAGCACGGTGAGTTTCATGAAATTTTTAATACTTTATTGATAATGATGAATCATTGATAGATATTAGTGTTTGGATAATTTGATATATTTTAGTTTCTAAAATTGTCAATTTAGTGAAAATAATGTGTCCATAATTTGACAGCTATAAAATTTGGCCATCATAAAATGCGGTTGCCAAATCAACAAATAACATGTGATATCATATATCTGTTTATATTCGATGATCAATGTATGCTATCAAAATTTTGAAATTAGTAGATGGTCATTCACAACCAAAATCTAACAAAGCACGGCAAACCAAACTCACATAGGATGTATCAAACCAAACTCCAAATTGAGGAAACAAAGCACGCGTACAGCATTACAAGAGATGGGCCCCGAGAGAATTAAGTCATTTTGACCCGAGTTGTCATCAAAGAACAATACTAACACTTTGACTTGAAGGATAAGGTCTGTTATAGGGTTGTATTTGAAATTGAAACCACTGAAAGTGGGAGGAAGGAATGAAGGAGGGGTGAAAATAAAAATGATAAACTACACTTTCGCTGATTGTTTTAGGTTTAGAAGTGAAAGAAAAATGCAAAAGAACATGGGCTTCACAAGTTTTTCAATCTACCCTTTTCAGTGAAAATAAAATGATTAATACACACACACATATATATATATATATATATATATATATATATATATATATATATATTTC